GGGGTCCGGTTTGAAAAATCTCAGCCCCCAGCTCGGCCCTCCTGGCCCAGATCGGGGGCCTGTTTCATTTTTCGTTTGACCAGGTTGTCCCACCCTCGGACACTGGCCCGAGATTTCATTTCCAGTAAGCGGTCAAGGTTTGCGCTAACCCAGCTGCCCTGAAGCTCTGTGGGTGGGAAGTCTCAGGTACTGGCCTGGTCGAGGGCTCAGATCTGCAAATTCTGCCAACAGCCAGCCATCGCTGGGGCCCATTTATTAGTCTTAATGGAATGCCTACGCCGGCCTCAGACACAGGGAGAGCATGGGCTTTCTCAAGCCAGAACTCCAGCACCTAGGGATTCTTGCATGCCCAGCACCGCCGAGATGACTGGGCGCCAGGGGACGATTCTGACAGAAGCTGGGAGGGGGGTGGGAGCAGCCTCACCCTCAAGGGCCAGTCTAGACGAGTCTAGGTGGAGGATGCAAGTGCACCCAGGGAAAGAACATGTTGGGTATTTGACTTTAGCAAAATTCACGTAGAGGTGCAGCTCATATACTTGCAGGTGATGGCAAAACCTATTAAGTGTAAATTGTTCTTGTGTTAAGTTCAGGATTTCGTTTGCTTGGGTTTTCTTTGGTTGTTTTCCGTCAAACCATGACAAGAATGGGAATGGGGAGTATTTGACCGGCAGTTTAAACCCAAAGCCCCCTTTCCACTTCCCCTTTGCTGCCTACACTACTGGCACTTAATAACTTTGAGGAACTTTAATGCCTTCCCTTTTTGTACAATCTTGGGTAAGCTGGGTTTGCATTTTATTGATCCTCCCCCCTTTTCCTTATCGATGTTGTTGGTTTTGGTTGCCTTTGAGTGGAGCGACCCTATGAACAAAAGGCCTGAAACCCTTCTGGAGAAGGACTGTATGGGCGCATGCATGCCCGGGCCAGGAGAACTCCCGTGTGGGGGGGGGGAGGCAAGCGCAGGCCCTGCGGTAAGGCCAGCTCTACAGCGTCTGGCGCAGGCGGCCTGGGGAGCCTTCCCTCGAAGGACTTCTAGGTGGAACATGGGTCCGGCCACAAAAGACACTGCTGTAAAAGAGACCATCGCCTTTCTCCCAGAGTTTTCCTGTCCTTCCCCTCCCCTAGACGCCATCTTAGTTAAGTTTGCTGCCCTGCCGCCCCCAGGGGCCCCCAAAGCCCCAGAACTGGCCCGCGTGGTCTCCTGGGGCGACTCCCCTACCCAGCGCGGTGCCTGGCGTGAACTGGGTGACTGCCAGCCAGGCGCTCTGACGGGACCCCTTTCTTGTGCCTCCACAGCCTCGGAGAAGTCGGTGTGCCCGTCTCTGGACGAAACCCAGGCCTTCCCGCTCGCCTTCAAGCCGTACTCGTGGAGCGGCCTGGCGGGTACCGACTTGCGGCACCTGGTGCAGAGCTACCGGCCGTGCGCCGCCCTGGAACGAGGCGCCGGCCTCGGTCTCTTCTGCGAGCGCGCCCCGGAGCCCGGCCACCCGGCCGCGCTG